TTGAGGTGTTTTGGGTGGGTTTGGGTGGTTTTGAGGGATTTGGGGTGATTTCGGGTGGTTTTGAGGCATTTTTGGTGAATTTGGGTGATTTTGGGGGTGATTTGGGTGGGTTTGGGGTGTTTTTGGGGGTGATTTTGGGTCCTGCTGCTCCTGGGGGGCTCCGGGTCCTCCCGGCCACAGGGGGGCGCTGAGGAGCGCAAGGTGAGCGGGGGGACGCTCTGCCCTTTAGGCGGTTTTTGGGCATTTGGGGTGATTTTGGGGTGTTTTTAGTTGGTTTTGGGTGGGTTTGGGTGAGTTTGGGAAGTTTTGGGTAGGTTTGGGTGGTTCGGGTTGATTTCGGGTGATTTTGAAGCATTTTGGGTGAGTTTGGGTGGTTTTGAGGGATTTTGGGTGAATTTGAGGAGTTTTGGGTGAATTTGGGTGGTTCAGGTTGATTTCGGGTGGTTTTGAAGTGTTTTGGGTGAGTTTGGGTGGTTTTGACGGATTTTGGGTGAGTTTGGGTGGTTTTGAGGGATTTTGGGTGATTTGGGGTGGTTTAAGGCATTTTGGGTGGGTTTGGGTGGTTTGGGTTGATTTTGGGTGGTTTTGAGGCGTTTTGGGTGGGTTTGGGTGGTTTGGGGTGGTTTTGAGGAATTTTGGGTGGTTTGAGGCATTTTGGGTGAGTTTGAGGGGTTTTGGATGGGTTTGGGTGGTTCAGGTTGATTTTGGGTGGGTTTGGGTGGTTTAGGTTGATTTTGGGTGGTTTTGAGGCGTTTTGGGTGAGTTTGGGTGGTTTGGGTTCATTTCGGGTGATTTTGAGGTGTTTTGAGTGAGTTTGAGTGATTTGGGTGGGTCTTGGTGGTTTTGAGGGATTTTGGGTAGTTTTGAGTAGTTTTGGGTGAGTTTGAGGAGTTTTGGGTGAGTTTGGGTGGTTTGAGGGATTTTGGGTAGTTTTGAGGCGTTTTGGGTGAGTTTGGGTGGTTTGAGGGATTTTGGGTAGTTTTGAGTAGTTTTGGGTGGGTCTTGGTGGTTTTGAGGGATTTGGGGTGTTTTTAGGTGGTTTGGGGTGATTTGGGGTGAGTTTGAGGGGTTTTGGGTATTTTTAGTTGGTTTTGGGTGGTTTTGGGTATTTTTAGTTGGTTTGGGGTGATTATGGGGTTGATTTTGGGTGGGTTTGGGGTGGTTTTGGGTATTTTGGGTGGGCTTGAATGGTTTTCAGTATTTCGGGGTGGTTTGGGGTGTTTTTGGATAGGTTTGGGGGGTTTGGGAAGTTTCGGGTAGTTTTGCGTGGGTTTGGGTGTTTTGGGGGGTGTTTTGGGGTGGTTTTCAGTGGTTTTTGGATGATTTTAGTTGTTTGGGGTGATTTTGGTTGTTAGGGATGATTTTGGTTGTTTTTGGGTGATCCTGTCTGATTTTTGGGGTATTTTTCATGCATTTTTATGTGTTTTGATCATTTTGGGGTCGATTCCGTGTGATTTTGGGTTGATTTCACGTCGATTTTGGGTCAATTTTGGGTCGATTTTTGGGTCGATTCCGGGTGAGTTTTTTTCCTCTCGGTCCTCCCAGCCAGCAGGGGGTGCCCTGGAGGTGTCCCTGCAGCTGCCGCCGCTCCGCCCCTCCGACGGCGGCTCCTTCGTCTGCTCCGTCACCACCCCCCGCGGGCACGTGCAGCAGGTCCTGCGCCTGCGCGTCATTGGTCAGTCCCGGGGGGGCACTGGGAGGGCTCCCAGTATGGCCCAGTATCGCCATACGGGCCTTTACTGGGTTGGGAAGGGTCTGGAGGGTCCATATGGGACTGGTACGGGTTCTATGGGCACCAGTCTGGATCCTGTATGGACCAGTCTGACCCTATATGGACCCCAGTTGTGGCTCCCAGTGCCTCCCAGTATGTCCCAGTATCGCCATACGGGCCTTTACTGGGTTGGGAAGGGTCTGTAGGGTCCCTATGGGACTGGTGTGGGTTCTATGGGCACCGGTCCGGATCCTGTATGGACCGGTCCGACCCTATATGGACCCCAATTGTGGCTCCCAGTGTGTCCCAGTATGTCCCAGTCCCTCTATACAGGCCTATACTGGGCTGGGACACCTCTATAGGGTCCGGATGTGACCAGTCCGGGTTCTATATGGACTGGTCTGAACCCTATACAACCCCCACCCTTCCCTCCCAGCACCTCCCAGTGCCTCCCAGTATATCCCAGTACCTCCATCAATGACTATACTGGGCTGGGATACCTCTATAGGCTCCATATAGGACTGGTCCGGGTTCTATATGGACCAGTCCAGACCCTATATGACCGCAATTGGTGGCTCCCAGTGGCTCCCAGTATGTCCCAGTCCCCCTATATAGGCCTATACTGGGCTGGGAAGGGTCTACAGCCTCCATATGGGCCCGGTCCAGGTTCTATATGGACTGGTCCGGGTTCTATATGGACCAGTCCGAACCCTATAAGACCCAGTCCGCCCTATATACCCCCCACCCTTCCCTCCCAGTGCCTCCCAGTACCTCCCAGTACCTCCCACCACCCCCCTAACCCCCCCTTGCCCCCCTTTGTCCCCCCGCAGCCCCTCCCCGCGTGTCCGTGGTCCCGTCTCCCTTGGTCGTGTTCCCGGGGGTCCCCTCGGAGCTCCGCTGCGACGCCGTCGGCTTCTTCCCGCTGGACGTGGGGATCCGCTGGGAACGACGGCCCCG